ACCAATAGTTGCATATAGCAGACATAAAAGTATGGGGGACATGTTTACTAGATAAAAGTTAAAGACTTTAACATATAATTGACAGTTGGACCCATGATGATGGCAGATCTGTCATAATATCTAGATCTATTGATGAAGAATTCAAATATAAATATATCAATATATACATGAATAATTTAATATTTGATTATGTTAAAGTAATGCATCTTAAGATGACCATCCCAAGCTCTAACTGCCGAAACACTAAAATAGTGTCGCGTCCTATCATGCAATATGGAATGCGTGGTTGCATGGGTGTTTTATAATAACAAACTGAGGAAAACATGACACATTCGAAAAATGATTGAAGTGACACATGATCTCCCCCTCTCCCGGAGTATAAGTGATAACAAGAAATTTTTCTCTTGTCTGACATAATGTCACATATCCTTTCAAATATTTTCATTGTTTGTCTGTGCACAATTATATTATTAATCATCGGTATATATAAGATCAAGTGATACGATTAAGATAATATGTATAGTATTTGGATTTCAACTGCAATAAAACAGGATTATCTTTCTTGATTTGCGAGTTATGAATTTTGAATTTTGAATTTTGAATTTTGAATGATCCTTCTCGGCTTTCGTATCATGCTTTTCAATCATTCACAATAATGAGTATTTTTGAAAAAGCCGAAATCTGGTCGCTTTACTTATTATGTGTGTTTGCGTGTTGATGTTTCGGTGCCAGTGACCAGTTTGAATTGATGGATGCAGCCGGATTACCCAGAGAGAACCAACAACCTTTGGCAGGAAAACTTGAAATCCTTGTCAATTAAGATCTTAATCGAACGCGCCTATCGGGGTTCGAATTTAAACTTCATACCCGACGGGCTAGTGATCAATGCAGATAAAGTACTTAAGTCACTCGGCCACCGAAGTCTCCAATTAAATTGTTAAATGATTTTTTAATAATTAAGTACCGTAATAACTACGGTAACAAAAACGACTGCATATACTTCATAAATATCCAAATAAACAGAATACAGCATAATTAATATACTGCAGAGGTAAATGGTTCGGAATAATGTATAAAATTACAATTAAGAATTTAGAATGTTTACACATCCTTAGTAGCTTAAGGATGTTCGCTTGTCATGTTTTGGGATTTTTGTCAGATTTTCGGGATCCTCTGGTTTTATCCATTTGAATGCCTTAAAAAAAATTGCCCACTAACCCCCATTTTTCTTTTTATAAATTGTTTGCATTTATAATTATGAGCCATCTGTTAAAGTCTTATAAAATCCTTGTTATTTTTTAGTACTTTTTGAGAACTTAAACTTGTCAATGATAAAGCTATGAAAAATCAAGAGAGAACATTTTCCCGCCAAATTTTCAATGGCTAATATCTCAAAAACAAGCATACGGACCTATAACTTTTTTTCGCTCTTTTGATTTCTTTATTAATCCCCTATAAATATATACCAGTGTTATGAAAAGCTTGTTATTTTGAAACTGAGTAGCGAACTTCCTTAATACTCTTTCCAATGTGTAAGTTCTCTAACGTCCAGATAATGCACGAAATAGTTGTCCCTGGACGTTACAAATACAATAAATATATCCACCTCCAATGAAGAACCTTTCCTTGCTTATTTTATCATCAGCTCAGTTTATGATTTATAACAAACTGTTCTAGAATTGTCCGTTTATAAATTTACAAATTATAAAGAAATTAAGGTTTAAACTCCCTCAGGCAAATTGACTTAGATGGATTTGGATAATTTATTAAGGTCCTTTTTGGTCATATAGCTCGTCAACTGTTTCGGTTCGTATACATCCTTGACTTTTAAATATTTGGCTTTGAGCGTTCCTACTATGAAGGTTAATCAAAAAAAGGGCTTCGGACACATGACATTTATAACGTGTGGTTTTCATTTTTTATGACATAACCGAATGCGAACATATTTGACTCTTTTGTAAGACAATACTATTCTGGAATCACATCAGAAAAGGATCATACCTAAAAGTAAACAGAAAGCACTACAAGCAAATCACTTTAATTTCTCCCCATTTATGAATGATAATTGATTGTATGAGATTGTTCAACGTTCTTTCCTTTAAGTAGACTAAAGTTAGATATTATAACTAGGTAAACAATCATTTCTACTGAAAATCTTTAAACGTAATTTATATTAAATTAGGGAAATAGTAATAACCTTCAATGAAATCCGAATTCAAAATGCATTTAAAATTAAAGGTTAATTGTTCACGAACAATTGAAAGGTCTTTCCTTCCATATTTTTCCTTAAAATATACTGTCATACACTTGTCGAACCAACATACTGGTGTTGTCTCTTGATAGGAGGAATTTAGTGGTATATCTATGACTAACGCTAAAATCATGGGTCCCCAGTTTGTTTACATTTCACCGGGAACTTTTTGAAGATGGTACTACTACAAGTAGTAAGAATAAAAAATCTGTGAGGTTCATGATTGGATGGTATATGCTTTTAATTGATTAATTTTATGAAAGATCAACCATTTATGTGCCAAAATAACTATAATTTAGAGTGATACATTTGAAAGTTTCTGTGGCATTTTATTTCCTATTGGAATAGGCTGACTGACAATTATGCAGTGTCATTTAGTGCGGAATTTGAGAGCGTCCTTAACCACTGCTTGTCGAGGATATTTCCAGTGCATAAGCATGCTGATTTTTTTTTTTCATTGAAATAATCTATTATGTACTTTCAGCAGATGATGAGTTTAATTTCAGAATCTATTAAGAATTTATACTTTTTTTTAATTGTCAGATTCCAAACAGACAATGTACCCTATTGATAATGCATTGTGAATAATTGAGCAATTGTACCCTATATGATCAATCATGACCTTGACCTTTGAACTTGACATCAATTTTATAGTCGTGTATCAAGGACCTCAAATCAAAAGGTCCTAGGCCTTATACGACTAACGGCTTATTAGATTAAGCAACATACCACTTATGTCAAGTATTTAAGCGGAGATAACTCCTATTAATAGTCAACGGATAACTTCGACTTAAATGTATCAAAGTTGCTCCATGTCCCAAGGAACAGTTAAAAAACCATTTTGTCGATATTTGTAAAGATATTTGAGAAAAAGAGATAATAAAGTTTTCGGTGTTGGGGGAGACAACTGCTATATAGGAAAGTTACTGTATAGTGCCCTAACCGCAAGATAGCTTTCGGTCAACTGATACTTGATACCTAATATTATTTCAACATGTTTTTTTTTGGGGGGGGGGGGGGGGGGGAGTTCATGAAAGTTTGGTGGAAAATAAAATAATAATAAATATCTATACTATTGATAATCTTCTGAGTTCAAAAATATATGGTTGCTAAGGACTTTCATGTTCATAACAAGTGGTTGCTAAGGACAAAAATCATTGTTAAGGACAAAAGTATTACTTCCAGTATGAAAAATGTCATATCTACTATTCATAGCCTTTAAAGTTAAAAAAAAAAGTGGTTGCTAAGGATTTATATGTCGTTGCTAGGGACAAAATGTGATTTCCAGTATTAAAAATTTCATTTTTATACTATTCATAGCCTTTTAAGTTCAAAAATATATGGCTGCTAAGGTTTTTATGTCGTTGCTAGGGACATTGACCTCTGACCTTGACCTAATTTTGTAGATCATATTATGCTGAACATTTTTGCAATTCAAAGTTTCTTTCTATCTCTAACCTTGTTTGAGTTATAAGCAAAAAATCTTCATTTCGGACCCGAAAAACAGTTTTGGTGCCCTAGGTCCATAATAGTTGGTCCAATAATTTTGGACCCAACATAACAAACGAAGATCTCAATAAGACACACATTTTCATGGTCACATGAATTGATGATAATTAGTGATGATCCTAGGTGGCCTCTTACGGTTTCTGAGTTTAAGTGGCCAACCGACATCGGTTAATTTTCAAAGGGGCATAACCCTACCAATGAGTCGTTGAATCTTTTCGATTCAAATGTAACGAAGAACCAGGGTCTGGTCCTGAACAAATTCCACCCTTCGGTTTTTTTCTACCTATTATGATTACGGTGTTTGAATGATAACAAGATTTTCTGTGTTAGGGGAGATAACCGCTATAAAGGAAATGTTACGGGGTGGTGCCCTAACCACGAGATAGCTTTTGGTCAACCGATACTTGATACCTAATATCATTTCAACTTGTCGCGTACTTTTTTTTGCGAAATTTCGTTAAAGTTTGGCGGAAAGAATAATAATAATAATCAGAAGAAATACAGTAAGGTCTTTCCTTAAAGTGAAAGGAAAGACCTTAAAAATACGGATAATATTATATTATGTAATAATCTGCACCACAAATGAAATGAATTTATTTAATTCAAGCGATCTTTTAACGGAAAAATAACCTCAGATATAAAAGAAAGCTGATTTAAACCCTCATGCATAAATATTTCTACACTTCGCGATGGAGTAATCGAATGCACCTTTCTGCTTTTTGTCACATAAATTGTATGTATAGAAAATAATATTCTTTACCACAGATATAGTTGTGTGAAGAAGAACAAAATTTGCTGTCACGGAATTTCAAGATCAGGAACAGAAACAAAAACATAAATGTTATGTTTTGTAAGAAGTTTCATAACATGTTGCTGCTTCATCCACACCCTCATTTTTCTCGTATCCGTTATTTAATTTTGAAGTTATATGAAAATAAGGAGATTTGAAATGATTACCAATGAGACAACAATCCACAAGAGCACAAATGACAGATATATAAGCAGTTAAAGTTAAACCTTTTTCACATCAAACTAAGACAATTAAACATAGTTATATACATCGTATGTGGACAAGTCTTATTTTAAATCTAGTGCAGAGGTCAACATACTTTCAGAAATTAATTGCAGAACAAGAGTTTTTTCATACATGTTTTCAAAAAAGAGGTGCATCAAACGCAGGAAATTATACTTGACTTATATTACTCATCAAGGTTGTCAATTGCATACATGTCATACGAAATAAATAACAAAATTTTATTAATCTGGAAATCCTATGACAAATGTGTTTTTTTTATATAAATATTAAAGTAATGTCTATTCATTTGACGATGGGCCCACTGTGAAATTCAGTTGACAAATATACCTGAAATGAAATAAAGAAGAAATTAAGGTATACATAATCCAATTATATGAAACTCATTTCAGGTAGAAGTGCTGGACTTTAAAATCACAGTACTGAATTGAGACAATACAATACGCTTCAAGTCTTATGTATTGAGATCACGATCCCCGCTTAATGAAAAACGAGAGACGTATTCATGTTCTTGATCTGTTAGTAGCATCTTAACTTCATTTCTATTACAATGTATTATGTGTAGGCAGATATATTGAATTAGAAACTTGAGAATATAAAAACTTAAATAAAAATTCACTGACGAAATTGCAGGCAGTGAACTCCAATCAAACGGAGGAGATTGTGTTTGTAGACAGGATAAAAAGAGGCGGCAGTTACCAAGGTACATACAAAACTCATAATTCGAAGAGAAACCGACAACTTCGTGTTGAAAAATCATGATGTGTCCTTTTCTATATATGTATAATCCACAATTCGAATCCAACTCATTAACGTTTTAATATTTTTTTTTTATATAACTGTCTATTATTCCTCAAACCTTCACCAGTGTGATTGAATTTATATATAAATAACAAAATATCTTTGAAGCATACTTTTACTATCATTACTACATATATAATTTTTTTTATAAGGTACATTTAAAGAAGACTAATACCTGCGTAGATAGTTTCGCCTTGATAGACAGGTTTTTATCCTTTCATTGGATTTGATGATGTTCCATACAGAGTAAGATAGTTTTACCTTTATAGACAGGTTTTTATCCTTTCATTGGGTTTGATGATGTTCCATAGAGAGTAAGATAGTTTTACCTTGATAGACAGGTTTTTATCCTTTCATTGGGTTTGATGATGTTCCATAGAGAGTAAGATAGTTTACCTTGATAGACAGGTTTTTATCCTTTCATTGGGTTTGATGATATTTCATGGAGAGAAAGATAGTTTTACCTTGATTGACAGGTTTTTTATCCTTTCATTGGATTTGATGATGTTCCATAGAGAGTAAGATAGTTTACCTTGATAGACAGGTTTTTATCCTTTCATTGGGTTTGATGATATTCCATGAAGAGTAAGATAGTTTTACCTTGATTGACAGGTTTTTTATCCTTTCATTGGGTTTGATGATGTTCCATAGAGAGTAAGATAGTTTACTTTGATAGACAGGTTTTTATCCTTTCATTGGGTTTGATGATATTCCATTGAGAGTAAGATAGTTTTACCTTGATTGACAGGTTTTTTATCCTTTCATTGGATTTGATGATGTTCCATAGAGAGTAAGATACCACTCCTTTAGTTCCGCTGAAATAGACAGAGGTTTTAGATACCCATAAGCTGGTAATTAAATGAAACTTGACTTTTACAAATCGATGCACAGAGCGACTGTTTGTTGTTCCTGAATCTGAAGGATAATTGGCATTAAAGTTTATCCTCAACAAATTGAAATACTTTTGTGGGAAGTTTAACTAGCTGTGAAACCACGTTCACCACACCATTTTCTTCAGTCGGGATTTTACCATTTATTTACAGTCGTTCCATTAGTTAAAGTTGTCGAGCATTTTGTTTTGTCTGTTTTCATGGTCTTGCCTTTTGAATTTACCTTGAAAAAGACAGACTATACTGGGGCAGAAAGGAAAATGACAGACTATACACCGTTCTTGAAAGGAAAAAGCAAGACTAAACCAGGGCTGATAGGAAGAAGACGGACTTTAAAAATAGTTGTGAACTTAGTGCTATGGACTAAGGCAAGGAGGTATTGTTCATAGAAAGACACATGTTGTAAATCAAAACTTTTTGGAATATAAAGGTTTAGGAGCCTAATTCATCCACGATATCACGTGGATTTTTTTTAAGGTAAAAAGAATTTCAAGTTGATGAATAAACAAATCAAAATATAAAAAAGGGTGATTTTTGGTCGAAATTTTTGTAGGATCCCTTATTTACTAACTTATCTTTTCGAACATGCTCTTGAAATGATGGCTTATTGACTCTTAAACAACATCTTAATGTATTTATGAATTAATTATACTGAAAGCTTTAATTTTGGATGTCTGTATTTTAAACTTTAATTCCAAAACTTTTATATTTTAAACTCTTTGTTCCCGGCATAATTAAGATACACTTAGTATAACCTGTAATCTCATTTTCTTCATTTCAGAAGAAGGAACAAAATAAAGAAGAAAAAGAATTATTATATAAGATATTATTATTAGATGAAAAACTCATAGATAATAACTTGCCATCGGTACACCAAGAAAGGGAAGGATTGGAACTAGAATTAAAAATAATAAGGGGAAAAAATGTCAAAGGGATAATTACAAGAGCAAAGGCAAGATGGCAATAAGAGGGGGAAAAGGGAAGTAACTATTTTTGTAATTTGGAAAAAAAAACATTACACAGAAAAAATTATTCCCAAACTTATTCTGGAGGACGAATCTGAGATAACAGATCCATGTATTATTAGAAATGAACAAAAACAATTTTATAAAAAATTGTATACTAGTTCTAACCCATTGTTACTTGAAACTCACAGGAACTCATTTCTTCAGCATGACAATCCTTTTATTACAAAACCTAATGAGGAAGAGGTGGGTTCCTGTGAGGGACCTTTACCAGTGCAGGAATGTCTGTCTTCTCTTAAACATATGAAGAACTCTAAATCACCTGGTATAGATGGATTCACTGTTGAGTTTTATAAATTCTTTGGAATGATATTAAAATACCACTGGTAAGATGTTTAAATGAGGCTTTAGAATATGGAAAGTTCTCTATCACTCAAAAACAGGGACTCATTACATGTATACCAAAGGAGGGTAAGTCAAAATTTTATCTAAAGAACTGGCGACCTATGACACTGCTGTGTGTAGACTATAAGATAGCTACAGCAAGTCTAGCAAATAGATTTAAAAGGTCTTGGTAAACATAATAAGTCAAACACAAAAAGGTTTACTTAAAGGTAGGTATATAGGCGAATGTACTAGATTTATTTATGATCTGATGGAAAAGATGGAAGAAGACTCCATTCCTGGACTTTTACTTTTAGTCGATTTTGAAAAAGCTTTCGACACAGTCGAGTGGTCTTTTATATTGGAGGCTTTGCAATTTTATGGCTTTGACCATACATTTATAAGTTGGATTAAAGCATGCTACTGTGATGCCTCTAGTGCAGTGTTAAATAACGGTTATATTTCAGAATTTTTTTCATTGAAAAGGTGGGTCCGTCAAGGGAATCCTCTGTCTCTTTATCTATTTATTTTAGTGCTTGAATTACTAAGTGCAGCTATCAAAAATGACCCTGATGTTGCTGTTGTAACAATTAATGACTCTGAATTTTTGTTGAGTCAATACGCTGACGATTCTTCCGTAGTCCTGGATGGTGACCAAAAGTCCCTAAATCAGTGTTTATATTTGTATGATAAATTTTCAGAATGTGCTGGACTTAGGTGTAATGTTGACAAAACCGAAGCCGTATGGATTGGGTCAAAAAAGGGTAGTATGGAAAAACTTTTACCAGAAAAAAATCTTGTTTGGAACCATTCTGGGAGGTTTAAACTATTAGGTATATGGTTTGAGCTTGCTAAAGTGGATAAGACTCTATGTAATTTTACAGCCAAGATAAACAGTATCAATACTTGGGCTTATAGAGAACTAACATATATTGGAAGGGTTGTAGTTTTTGAAACTTTAGCACTTCCCATTTTGGTTCAAGTTCTGACTGTCCTTCCTAACCCCCCAGAAGGGGTTTTGAAGGAGATTCAGAATATATTTTTTTATTTTTTATGGAAAGGTAAACCTGATAAAGTGAAAAGGACAGTGATAATGTCTGAACACTGTGATGGTGGTCTTAAGATGCCTAATATTTATTATTTTTGCTATAGTGTAAAAATGTCTTGGCTGTATAAATTATTAATCCCCAAAATTACTCTCCTTGGAAAGTCTTGCTACTTAGTTATATACAAAAATTGGTGGGGGGGGACAAAATTTTACACTTAAGTCAAGAAGGATTGCTTTATTTAGCTGAAAAAGTCAATCCCTTTTGGCATGATATCCTGGTAAATTTTTCCAAGTTAAAAAATAAGCTTAAAGCTGAAAACAATACTGAAATTCTGGCCCAGTCCATATGGCTGAACCCAAACATCAAAATGGATGGCAAGATGATTTTGAGGTTCAAATATATTGAAAATTGTATATTCTTTATTAATGATCTGATGTCAGATAATAATTCTTTATTCTCATATGATGAATTTATAAAACAGTATGATATCAATACTAATTTTGTAGAGTTTTATGGTATTTTAAGTGCGATTCCAAATAGATGGAAAAGTATAATAGAAGGTAGTTCAAAACTGGATATTATTGAAAATAAATTAATAGATAAATTTAAAAAGGAACCAAAATCTTGTAAATTTTTCTATAAATTATTTTTTGAGGATAATAAAGTGGTATCTTTATCTTCCTGTAATAAATGGGAAATAGATTTAAATATGCAGATTGAAGATTGGAATGCTATTTATTCCATGTCCTTCATTATAACCAGAAATTCTTTTTTTACAAAACTTTCAATTTTGATAAGATTGTTCATAGGATTCTACCATGTAATTCATTTTTATTGAAATGTAAATTAAAAGAAACTGAACTATGTACATTTTGTTCAGAAATTAAAGAAAATATTTTTCACATTTTTTGGGAATGTAATGTGATACAAAACTTCTGGCTATCCGTTATAGATTGGATTAAAAATTATGGCATTATCCTGCCTTTCAGTGCAAAAGAAGTCATTTTAGGTGTGTCTGAGGATTTTGTCAACAGTAAAACAGTTAATAATATTTTGTTGTTATTCAAATATTATATATACAAATGTAGATGTAAGAACTTATCCCCCACAAAATATGGTGGGATAGAATATTTAAAATATTGGATTAATATAGAAAAATACTCGGTATGTTTCTTAACCCCTGTACAAAAAGTAAACATGGATCAGAAATGGCATTTGTTAGAAGCTGCTTTTATTTAATTAATAAACAAAATCAATTGTAATATTTATATTTATATCTTATTATATCTTTATGACTTGATTGATCTTTCAAGTATTACTTAATTTTTTATAATGTGTATCAAATACTGTAGTATGTAATTTCACATGTTTCATCATGAAAAATAAAATAATTACAAAAAATAGTATAACCTATAATACTAACGACTCTTTAATATATATAAATAGAGAAAAACTCTCAACTCATGGCGTACCTTCTCATCGGATGTCTCTTTAATCAAGAGTTTCAAAGTAAACACTAAAATAACGAGAGAGAAAAGGTCTACGTTTTCGGGCGTGAACATTGTTTACTGTGTTATCTTAGAAACTCCATGATTATAAAAATACAAAAAGCTGAAATATTCATTTTTTTATTAATCAACCGAGTTTGTGAATCAGTCTCAACTGTTAAAGGCAGTTTCTCATAAACCAAATGGCTTATCACAAATTGGTTGTCCAATACGCTTTAACTCAACTCAGTAGCGATACGTTTTTGACGTTCTAGATCCTAAAATATATAGTCGTTCAACCTGCAAAATTAACATTTTTTTTGTATTTGCGAATTGTGAATTGTGAATTCGCATGGTAGGTGATAAATGCATAGCATTACCTTGTCCAAGGTACCCGATATCGGTCAGGTTGAAGTTCGTGCAATTTCCTAGTTTTTTGTTTTTTTTTAAAGATGATGTAGCAGGTTTGCTAATAGGACCACTATCAACAAGAGACTTTCATTCGAGGGTCCTCAATGCTCTTCAATTTCGTACTTTATGGCCTTTTAAACTTTTTTTTGGTTTCGAGCGTGATGGTTTTTTTAAGACGAAACGCGCGTCAAGCGTACACAATTTTAATTCTTGTATCTATGATGAGATTATTTGCATCTTCTTAACGTTATTAGGATATTTGAAATTCAGAAAACTGATGTCTTCTCTAATATTTGTTTCAATATTTAGATGATACATACCACTGGCTATCATGTTGTCTAACTTAAGTAAAACTTTCCACTTTCCTATAGGATTTTCTCCCCATAAATGAACAACTTTGTAAGTCCAAGTAAAGGTGCCTGATTGAGTGTATGTGAAGTACGCGTCGTTGTATCTTTTTGGAAGCAGAACTACTTTGGTCCTACTGGGAGACACCAGATATACCTCAACTGCTCCTCTACAACATGAGTAATTAAAGCTCACTGTAGCCATTACATGTTCTAAATGCCGGATTGGACAATCGCCACGGGAAACGTCAATTTTGTTTTTGGCTTTTGATCTTTCCTCTAAAGTCCTACAAATAGAGTTAACATTTATAACTTGCAGTAATTTTCATATCAATTAAAAAAAATCATAAAAAAAGTATTATTTTGCTGGAACAATTTCATTAATCAGCAATAACGCAAATAAGTTGGGTTTTTGTCTCGCCTTGACGGAGTCAAAAAGCGAGACATAGGTATGCTGTTTCCGTCGTCGGCGGCGGCGTCAACAATGTATTAGTTTGTGATTAGGTCTAGTTTATGGTGAACCACTAGTGGTAGGTCAATGATATTTGGTATGCAGTTGAATTAGCATTGGCACATCTTATTACCATGAAGATTATTTGACCCCGCCCCCTCAGTCATGGTTTATTGACTTTGAAACTTTTCTTAGTTTTCATGTATTAGTTTGTGATTAAGTCAGTTTGTGGGGAACCACTAGTGGTAGGTCAATGATATTTGGTATGCAGTTGTTTAAGCATTGGCATATTTCATTTCCATGGATATTATTTGGCCCCGCCCCTTCATTCATGGTCTATTGACTTTGAAACTTTTGCTTAGTTTACAAGTTAATGTTTGTGTTTAGGTTTCTTTAAATGGAACGACTTATGAAAAGTCAATGGTATTTGGTATGCAGTTGTATTAGCATAGTCACATCTCATTTCCATGGAGATTGTTTAGCCATGTACCTTTAGTCATGGTTCATTGACTTTGAATATTTGCATAACTTTCATGTTAAAGTATTGTTATTTTAATTTCAACATTTGCATTATCAAAATAACAAATAGGCGAGACATATCTTTGTGTTAACAGTTTATTTTTTTTGGCACGTAAAAAAGCGTGACATTGGTATCATCAGCCCAGAAGCCAGTACTTCGATACTGATGTGAAAATACGACGAATTTGGCTGTAATTTCTTTTTTTTATTGTTTTGGAAACAAAATTTTTTATGATACTGATTATATACATATGCACAGATATGACACTAACAGTAACGTAAGCTTATATTTAGAAAAAGAATGGTTAAAAATCAGGGGTCAAGTATAACTTTGTTTCCTTACTGTGTATTGCTACCTATGAATGATGCATTGTGGGAGAGCATCGCATTGCTGACGCATAACAGACATTTTTGCCTTGTCAAAAATCAGTTGAAAATATCCGTTAAATTTACAAAAAAAACCATAATGAGTTAAATATCTTAAAATCATGACCAAACCTTGTTTCGTCATTGGTCGACTATAAATTAACAAAAGTGTCAGTGAATCATCGATTACAGTAGCCTTTAATTTCGCAATCCGCTATATAGATGATGTTGTCTCACTAAATAATTCACGATTTGGTGAATACATTGAACACATCTATCCCATCGAACTTGAATGAAGAATACAACAGATACAGTTAAGTCTGCCTCATATCTTGACTAACATCTAGAAATTGACAATGAGGGTCGGTTGAAAACAAAACTTTACGACAAAAGAGATGATTTCAGCTTCCCAATTGTGAACTTTCCAAGTGGTGCAGTTGAAATCATCCCTTCATAAATTTTACGGACGCCATCACGTGTTGGTTGACCGTTATGGAATATCTGTTTCACAGATGACGACGGATATGTTCCAATTGTCGTAACTACAATCTCGTCTACTTCCCCCGAATGTGTCCTACCGAATAAGACATATCACTGGGTTTGTACTTACATGTGCAACACGACGGGTGCTACATGTGGAGCAGTATCTGCTTACCCTTCCGGAGCACCTGAGATCACTCCCAGTTTGTGGTGGGGTTCGTGTTGCTCAGTCTTTGGTTTTCTATGTTGTTTTGTGTACTGTTGTTTGTCTGTTTTTCTTTATCTTTTTTTAGCCATGGCGTTGTCAGTTTATTTTCGAGTTATGAGTTTGAAAGTTCCTTTGGTATCCTTCGCCTCTCTTTTACATCATTCGCGAATTCCATCCTGGTCAGCGGCGCCGATATTTAGTTACGGGGAATCTATTACGCCTGGCCTTACCGACATGAAGCCGAAATTTGTCTAGAGTTCCAGGCTTTTCTTTTGTATTACATGTATACGTCTTTAGTTTAGTAATCATGTATGATTGTAAGATACAATAGTTTTCAAATGCATGTTTTTTGCACAATAGAATTCATGTATAATTGAAAGGTGCATTATTTTTTACATGCATTTTTCGAGAATAAATGGTTATGGGTGACTAGAATTTCCAATAGTCGAATTGATAACTTAATCAATGTTTGTAAAATTTAGTTTCATAATTGCCTTTAAGGCATTGATGCATAACTAAATTCCAAAATATATATATCGTGTAAATATGAACTACATTTGTATTATCATGAAAACGCACGAATAAACATACCAGTGATTTTGAAGGGTTATGTCCCTTATCATATCGTCACATGACTCTTATATTATTCTATGTCCACTTTTGATAAAAATAAAGATACTAAATACCAGTTCCAATGATCTATCTCTGAATACAACTATAACACACGATTTTTGTGCTATACGATTTTTTTCTTTAGAACTATAATACTTTTCTATCTCCACACTTCCCATGGCATTATACTTTTACAGAGAAAAATAGTGTTATAGTTTTGTATCTTCACTATTTCTCATTATATTTGAAGCCTTCAAAAATTGTTATTAAAATCATCTTAGAACTCTATGCTGAAAGTATTTGCCTGATATGTACTTAATCTATGAGTAATTCTCAGCAAATCAAGTATTACAGAATTCAAAAATCCATGGTCTATCTCCAATAGAACATAGGACATAACTTTAAAAAGAAATATGTTCCGTTGAAGTGTTTTATTTCTAAAAGAAGGGGATTGCGTTTTTTTATTTTAGGTGTTGTTCTATTTTTTTCTATTAAATAATAATGCTCTTCAAGTCCACAAACTGTATTCCTACATAACTTCCTATATCTGAGTCAAAAACTACGGGAATCGAACTAACATCTTTATGTTCAATTTTACCAACAATTAGAAATATGGGAGTGAGAATATCATAGTAAACTCACGACGCTAATGTTTAATTCCTGAAACTTGTACTTACATGTTTGGGCTGCTAACTTTTGATTGCCAAGTTAGTTGTTCCGGGACAGTTTTCCACTTTATTGCCTTCTTAACCATAGCCTCAGCATTCATCAAACCGAATCCCATTTTGTGATGAACTAATTAAAAAGATTAATTATAATAATTACGATATAAAATTGATCTCATATTTGTGTTACCCTTGCAACACAAAAACAGGGAAAGACCATTAGAACTGACAAAATGAAACGCTATCAAGCAACGGAATAAGCCATATTCCTGACTTGGTACAGGCATTTTCTGAAGAAAATGGTTGGTTAAACCTGGTTAAACTCTGCTCAGCTCTTGTTATAATTTGATATGACGTCAAATACGCTAAACAGGCCTTACATCTAATAAATAAACTCATCATAGATACCAGGATTCACATTTTGTACGCAAGACGTGTGTTTCGTCTACAAAAGACTCATCAGTGACCCTTGAATTAAAAAAATTAAGATAAGGTCAAATAAAGTACGATTTTGAAGAGCAATTGAGGTCCCAAAATTCCGAATGGGTTGTCAAATACAGCTCAGGTAATCTATATCTTCGATCAGAATTATCTAGTCCTCGTCAGGATTGCTGGTAAAACAAATGTTTCTTTCTTGAAAAACCATAAATACAAGCCGATATCTCAATTATCCACTGATCGTCACATTGATTTTTTAAAATATCAGCTGATTGACACAATATAAAAATAAAATTAAGAATATGTGGTATGATTACCAATAAGATCCCTATCCACCAGAGACCAAACGTATAGGTTAGCAACTACAGGTCACCGTACGGCCTTCCACCCTGAGCAAAGCCCATCTATAAAGGGTCAAACGAAAAACACTAGCGTGGCCTGATGTATATTCAACACAAAAAAAACGAGGCCTGTTTGAACTAGTACGCTGTTCTCACTCGACAAAAGACTTCACATTGTGACTTGCAGCTGACAAGTATAAAAATGCAGGAAACTTTATAATCGGTATTTATTTGTCTTCAGTAATACCAAAGACCAATGAAACACTCTGTGTTACCATAATTCACCCCAGACGAGCAGTCGACTCTTTTTTGGTCTCAAGGAAAAACCTAACAACTCCTCAACTTCGTACTTTTAACTATTTTGATTGAAGCGCCATTAACTTCGAATACTCTCAGATCTTTACTTTGTGTCTTTAGTTTATTTGTTAGTTGTTTATTGTGCTTCTCGTCGATCTGATGGGTCAATCCTTTAAGTAACTGATTTTTATCTTTTGTTCTAATGTCGTACTGTTACATCACTGTATCAGGTTAGGGGAATGGTTTCGCACCAACAAAAACATATGTATCCTCGCCCGCCACATTCTATCGGTGCTTGTCCCAAGTCAGGAATCTGTAATTCAGTGTGTGTCGGTTATTGCTGTATATCATATTCGCTTTTGACTTATAGTTTTGTGCATAGATCTGGCCAAAAGTTTACTCGTTTTAAACTATTTTAAACTATCAAACACTCTTCCACTCTCAAAATTAACACTAAGTTCTTCAGATCTAATTCAGTTTGAGAGTAAAAGACCGAATTGAGTCCATCAAAATAACCTTTATTAGTATATTAGTTAAATATACCACTGCATATATAATATTCATCTTATTTGGCAGAAAAGTGATAATACTACAACACTGAGATTAATCTTTGAAGAAACAGTGAGCTTACCAGTAATCAACAATAATAGTTTTACGATAGTAATAGTTATACCCCGACATATTACTGATTATTCCCCGATCTATTACTGATTATACCATTACATTTGACTGAATTTTACTTTAAAAGTGTTATGGACGACATGATAATACCACAAAAAGAAAAATATGATGCCATAAAAACTACCAACCTCTTAAGCCTGCTCCAGTACGTTGCCATTTGTTCTCAATATCAAAGCGATCCTTGAACCCGTATGGTTTGGAAGTCCTAACTATTAAATGCTGAACATCTCTCCAGGTAAGGTCATTGCTAGAAAGTGGAAGATTTTAAAAAGCATGTTTACTTGTTATACCTTTGTTCCGACCAATATGTTAGGTAGCTACTGTTATCTTTTATATGAACTGATCGGTGGTAGTATAGTAGAAATTGTCACATCTGGCTTTGATGTATAAAAAAGATTTGCTAAATACTGCTAAGGTAGTTCAAGTCAGTGCTATCGTGTTGTTGTATATCACATTTGTTTCTGTTTAATGTTTTGTACCTAAATCAGGCCGTTTAGTTGAATTCGCTGAATCATTTCGGGTCTTGTAATAGCTTGTCATACGATATGTGATTTCCTCATTTTTCAAGTCCATATGATGACTTATGGTTGCTTATATCAATGTCATTTGGTCTCTAGTAAATAGCTGTCACATTTGCAATCATATCATATCTTCTTCTTTCTTATATATAGGAGGAAACCTTTACCCTGTTGAAACATCCAGTCTAGCTTCGTTTGGAGTCCATGCGCAACCCTAAACCTTTGTTTTTATATGCATTTGTATATTCATACAGAACTCACGAGAATTCTTTTGAAAATGAGGTTTCAAAACATTGGCTTGAAAAAAAATAAAAATTAAAAAGTCTAAAAAAAGTGAAAAAAAAAGTGAAAAAAAAACACCTGAAACAATTCCATAAAAGGTTGCACAACTTCAACACATGTGAAATCTGTATGATAAGTAGCAAGCAACCGGTTAGAAAACTTTGGTCGGAATTGATTTCACAAAAATCTAATCATCTGTTGTAAATTTTACTAAAAAAATGTAAATTAATTCTTTAGTTTGGAAAAGTGGAGGAAAAGTTCCCCATAAACCAGGTGTAAAACATAAACGTGTGCAATCTTTCAGTGAAGTGACATGGATATGAGTTAAAAATGTTGGAGGAAATGATAACACAAAATGAATATCTATTTTGTAAATGTTGCTGATAATTGACTGTGTTCCCAAAGCATTGCAAAATAAAAAAGTAATCCTTAAACAATATTTTCATAGAAAGTGCCAAGGATTTGGGAAGAAAACTGTAGAGACAAGTTGATTACGCAAATTAGGTACCCCCTTTTCCAGAAACATCACCATTCTTAAAACAGGTTAAGGACTTCGTCCGACCCCTCCTATAATAAACGCAAACTCGGCTGAGAGACAATTGAATAGGGACTAAGTTTTTATCTCCCTTTTCTGGAAAAAGAAATAAATAAAATTAAACCAAATGTCCTAACTCTAACAACAAAATGAGATATTTGTACAACTGCTAAGAATTTATTGATTCGGGGTTCATATTTTACGCAGATGTGCGGATCTCAGTATTAAAATTGTACATTCATCTATAACGGAGCACCATCCTTGTCACATGATCCCTGTCACGTGATCCTTGTCATAGTTACATTCTTAAATTGTCTTGTTATTCCTTCTGTATTTCTCAGACTTTAATGAATAAAATTGAGAATGAAAATTGAGATTGGAAACGGGGATGAAATTTTTTAAACTTACTTTGCCTCTAATGCAAGTGTGATGATTCCCACTGCAATTGGAGCGGAGAAAGAGGTGCCTCGTAAACCATCTATACAACCAGAATTGGTAGTAGTTGACGTCTGTAAAGGTTGAAAATACATATCGTTGAAATAAAAGTTTAACTGTAATTTTTACATTGTTCGGCGAGGTTTAATTTGTATGATCATCTGATCTGTAATTGTACCAATGGTAACATATTCTTTCTCGTGACATATCTGACTGAGTTTGAATTCTGATGGCAGTTAATGAATGCAATGGAGGAGCCGTTTACCTGTCATTGCACCAGTCTCGTTCTGGTTTACATATATTCCATCATGTTTTTATTTTGAATATAAGAGATGATTAATGAGTTTTGAAAAGAGATTAACAATTTACAGTTACCTTTGCATTGAAAATTTCAGTTCTATAGCGTTTGGCACCTTACCAGAGCAGATTAAATAAGTGGAGTGATACATTTGAGATCACCCCAGGTTTTTTATTGGGTTTGTGTTGCTCAGTCTTTAGTTTTCTATGTTGTGTTTTGTATACTGTTGTTTGTCTTTTGATCGTTTTTCGTTTTTTGCCATGACATTGTCAGTTCGTTTCGACTAATCAGTTTGAATGACACTTTGGTATCTTTCGCCTCTCTTTTGTAGGCAATGACATGCATAATTTATAACAATACTTTTAAAATTCACCGTTGATAAATTAAGACCTATTTAGAAACCAAAGTTCCAATTCCCTCATGCAAAGTTTTCCTAAGATGAATTTGATTGTTTTTTTTCTTTTTTCTTTTTGTTCAAATAGCTCATAACGTGTCAGTATTTTTACATCCCCTCTTCAAATTTTAAGATTTGAGCTTTCATTCGGAAATTTATTAAGTGTTGTTTTCATTCTTAAAGATAATTGTCGTTTATGGTTAATGTTTGCATTTATACTTCGGGTTATTTCAGGTTAATATATGTAATGTAAGTTTTACATGCTAAAGAGCGGCGGAAGATACCAGAGGGACATACAAACTTATAAGTCGAAAAAATTTGCCAAAGCAATGGCGAATAAAGACAAACACCAGCCCCTAAAACACAATATGAAAAACTAAAGATTAAGCAACATGGACACACAAAGACCGGGTTGATGTCAAATGGTAAAAATATCTTATAAAGTAAAAAGTTTAGGTCCATTGAATGAAAAATGTCATTGTATTATAATAATTGCGATGGAAAAAGTGTAATAATGCATAATACAAATTTACTACAGACCCTTGACAGAAAGTCTATAACATGAGTGAATACAGCCACTAAACGATCTGCTTTTAACACCAAGTTATCCAAATAACATAATAGTCAGATATGCCTTAAAAGAGTGTCTGGGTGGGGTTTACAGAATACAGAATAACGGACCAATATTACAGAAAAATAGGTAAAAAAATTAAAATAAAGCAAATTGGGCAAAAAAAATAAATAATAGAGAATAATGGGATGTTACAATATAAATAATAGAGAATAATGGGATGTTACAATATAAAGAATAGAGAATGATGGGATGTTACAATATAAAGAATAGAGAATACTGGGATGTTACAATATAAAGAATAGAGAATACTGGGATGTTACAATATAAATAATA